GTTACTATAATATTTTTTTCATATTATATTCCTTACCTCTAGAGGGAATAAAGCTTTAACTCGCCTCTCATTAGACAGATTTGTTAACCCCTCTTCTGCTATGAGAATAGGATCGTAAAGAAACCAATGTAGCCATCAATTACGAGATTAGTACTAAAACATGTATATGAGCTGAACTCTAGGTGGAATCCTAGGTGCATATTTTTTTAAGGAAAAATATCTTCCATCATTAATGCTTAATCGTACGTGGTCAAATTTTTCTGCCTAATGTTATGAATCCAAAACTTTCCCTTGCACTCATAATTATTCTTATGTTCTGCCCCATGCACAATCCACCAAAAAATATTAGCCAAAAATCTCATGATAGATATAGGCGATATCATTCAATATTTAATATTTCACCTAGTTATACGACATGCACTAACAACTAAAGCGAAACCAAAACTATTGACCATAAACTAAGATAATTTGTAAACTATGTGCGCTTTTTACTTAAAAAAAGGTATTTATACAATAATTTATATCCTCCACTTAATACGGAAAGCTTAAGGTTAAACTTACCAATCTCCTCCTAACTTTTCAAACTAAACGAAAAGTAATCGATAAATCAAACTTTCGTGCCAGCGTCACCTCCTCTAACTCAATATTCTAACCGTGATCTACACTATCTTAATACCAAAGAAAACACCGTTATCACGCTTTAATGAACCTCATTAACTTTAAGCCGACCTCCACAAACGTGGGACCCGCAGGAATCGGGTGCTGCCTTATCGACACGTGTAAAAAAAAAAGAGAGCAATACGCTTTCCTCTGTAGTCATGGATAAACCCGACACGTCAGCGTTAGGTGACGTGGCATGAATAGTTTCCGCTTGCACCTACCCGGACGCGAAAATTCTGCTGACGCCATCCTCTGCTGCTTCTTGCGTTAGCTTAAATACCCCTGGATTTGAGAGAATTTACAGCATAGGGACTTCTTGTGGGGCCCAGTAATTTTGGTATTTCATGGTGGCGGTTGGTCCTAAACAGGACACAGACGCATATACGGACGCGAAATGATTGGTGATTGAATCTCAGCCGTCCATTCCGAACGATTCTTCCGAGTCCACAGTGCTCTTTTCGCTGCTGAGCATAATCTTTAGAATTTGGATCGTCATCGACCGTTGAAATTGTTAGATCATGATTTGCTGTAAATCCAACGGCTGTGATTGCTGGGACACGTTGCGACTTTTTCTGAATTGATATTGCAAACTTTTTATAGCAACTGTATTTGAATCTGATTCTTTCTAGATATCTTTTTGCGTTATCTCTCCGTGTTTATTTAAAATGAATTATTTTTCCTTTTTGGCTTTTGTTTGCGGCTTTAGTCAATTAATTTTAACTTTGTCAGGAGTTTGTTTTTTTGTAAATGGGCATTAGTTAAAGGCTGAGAAACAGATTAAAAGTCGATAATTTTGAGTTATTGGGTATTAATCTTCTTTTTTTTACTTCATTGTTAAGGAAAGCACAAAAAGTAAATATCCTTATTCCTAAAATATTTGAATCCATATCTTAAATATCCAAATATATATTAGTCATATAGTTGGAAAAAATTTAATCCTTAGATCAATTGATTTGGATGATCACATAATCACATTATTATCTAGTTTTCTCACATTTGTTTTATGTCCGTGTATATATTCACTTATATATTTGTAAGCGTATTCAATTTTAGCGAATGCGAATATAAATTTTCTTTACTGAGGCATTCCATATGTGTGTTTGTATACGTGATTGACAAGCGAATACGGGTATGATAAGTGTCATATCCGAGTCATATATTTTTGAACCGTATGCAGGCCTATTTACCACTCTTTCTTCTTTTTTCTTTTTTTGATGGAACTTACCACTCTTTCTAATTGATTCCTGATGGTAATTAAATTCTATTATACGACTTTATTGCTATTTGATAATCTTTAACTCCTTTTAAATTTATATCATTGTCATTGGAGGAGACAAGAAAAGCTCCACTCCAGCTAGTGGAATACTGTGACCACTAAAGGACATTTATACATTATTCTACATGTACGAACACGACCAAAATTTTGGCATTGGAGATTAATTTGATAAGTTAATGCCAGAAAATTGGAAAATTTGTAAATAATTGAGTATGAAAGGTGAAATCCAGATGAGGCAAAATCAATAGATATTGCACAATTTAAATTGAAGTGGTCATATACCTTTTATCTAATATAAAAGCTAAGATCGAGTATATCTCAAAGATATATTTTCTAGACCTCCTTTTGGAGAATATAGTAATTTTATTTTTCATTTTGATTTAAACTATATTGTATTAGAAACCATGCCAGTAGGGGTGTGCACGGTTCGGTTCGGTTCGTTTTTTATCAAATTTTGAACAACCGAACCGAACCGAACCATTGCAAGTCGGTTCGGTGCGGTTCGGTTCGGTTTGTTCGGTTCTAACTTCATCAAACAAACAAACGCATTCTCAATGAGAAGTGTACAGTGGCATCAAGTATTTATAATTCAGTTCTACATGCTGAATTTTAACTTCAGAAATCATTTAAGTAATAGCTTACCTAAACTGTAAGCTCTTCTATATCTGCATATAAAATTACGATGATGCATATAAAATTAGTCGACATAGAAATTTCATGAACTTTTGACATATCATAAAAGTAAGCTCATCGACCTAATACTAAAACAGATCTCGTAATTCAGTCAAACAAACAAAAACCCAACTTTATTGTGATCTCAAATCAAACAAAAGAACATCATCAATAGAAAAAAGAACGAAATCAGATCCAAAATCTGCAGAGTTCTTTAATAAATAATTAAAAACTCACCAAAGCCATTATTTTGATTGTAGTCTACTGCTCCGATCTCAAATCTGATCAACAAAAAGCAGAAAATTAGTAAGGATCCAAGAGAAGTTGATGAAACTAATGAAAAAGCTTGAATCTTTTTTGGAGGGATTACTTACTAATAATTTAGTCTTATTTCGATTTCGTATGCAATAGACTCATATGGGAAATCCCAAAATACAGAGTTTTAGGTTCTAGGGACTCCACCAGGGCATGGGAAAAAGGGCAAGAGGATCGAAGACTAAAGTCTGAAGAGACGGTGGGTCGGCGGTGTTAAAGAGGCGGCGAGTCGGCGCCGACAAAGAGGCGGCGAGTCGGCGGCGATGGTGATGGCGGAGGACTTTCGCGACCGTAGTCTCGTCCAAAGAAGTGACCGCCATTAGAGGATCGAAGGAGAAGGAAGCGAGGGATTTCGAGGGTCCTTGTAAGAGAGAGGAACTGATGGAGTGCGGGCTGAGGAGTCGACGAACTGAGGGGTTGACGAACTGAGGAGTCGACGAACTGAGGAGTCGGAGTCGACGGACGGACGGACGGAACTGAGGAACTGAGAGAGGAACTGACGATCGAGCGACGAGTGGGAAGGGAGTCTGGGAGCGGCGGCTGAAATTGGGAATGAGATCTAGGGTTTAGGTGATGAAATGTGAGGGAAGGGATTCACGGGTCGGGTCTCTCAGACTCTGGGGTGTTATGTTAATGTGTTATTATCGGTCGGTTCGGTTATTTCGGGTTGAAAAGATTTCAACCCGACCTGAACTGTCATATAAGTAAAACCGAACCAAACTCTTGATTTCGGTTCAGTTCGGTCGGTTTTTTCAGTTTGGACCGAACCGTGCTCACCCCTACATGCCAGTTAGCTAGCTTTAGAATCTTAACCAAGCAATGAATTCTTCAGTTGTGAATATGTGCATGTCCATAGGGTTGATGGCGAACAGACCCCTGAAGTATCATTCAATTGCAAAAAGACACGCTATAGTTCAATTTATTATGAGGGGGTGTTTGGTTGCATTGTTTTTGAGAAATGTTTTCTCAAAAGTACTGACGCATGGCATTTATGTAATTAAGAGTTTTCTATACATTTCTATAAACTGTGTTTGGTTCCAAAAAAATTTACAGAAATGTTTTCTGTAAAGTGCCCAAAAGTACCAAATTTTATGGAAATTGATTTCCTTCTAAAATGGGAGGAAATCTCTTGGAAATCTGACGCATTCATTATTTAAATAATAAAACTCATTAACTCTTTTCTACAAAGTTCTCACTTTTCTATAAAGTTGGTGGTGTTTGGTTACATTTCTATAAATTATAGGAAATGTTGCTATTTTTTCAAAAAGTTATTTCTCATTTTCTTGTTTTGAACCAAACAAGCACAATACAAAAAATAAGAAAATTTGTACTTTTTAACTTCTCAAAACTTTTCCTATAATTTTTTTAAGAAATACAAGGAAATCAAATTTGGGATGGAAAATATTTCCTATAATTTATAGAAATGTAACCAAACACCCCCTGAATGAACCTCTTATAGTTCTACTTATTGTGAACAAACCTTTTACGGTATTGGTCCAAGTGCCAATACACCTTCTTAGTGAACTTTTTTCCACTCGGTTAAAAGAAAATATTTAATAATTATCATCACCAATAGAGCTATAGGTGATCCATCTGCCTCCTCAAACACTTCAACGATTTTAAAAGTAGAAAAAATCACAAATGAATTATTTACAACAAATAGAAATGTCAAGTTGTCTATTCACAATAAATAAAAAAGGTAAAGACGATAAAGAGCCTCATTGCAATTAGATGATACGTCAGAGGGTCTGTTTGCATCTAGCCATGTTTATATGATTACTTTATTCTACGAGCGTACTAAGATCCTTTTTTCTCTTTTGTCCGGGGCAAGATATTTTCAATCTGAACAAATATCTAGCCAATTTCGATCGGAGTGAACACGTGTCATCCGACTCACCCCTCATCCTACAGTGGTTAAAAAAAAAACACCCCATTAATCTGCAAATAATTACATTCCTGCCCCCGAAAAGCGAAAATTAGAAAGGGCCTTTTCCCGGAGCCATGTGGGACCCACTAAGCTTCTCTCTATGCGCTTTTTTCTCTGGTCTCTTGTTCTCTCGCTCTCTCTTGTCTCTCTCGACTCCATCCCCCCTCATCCTCCTCGTCCTCTCTCTCTCTCTCTCTCTCTCTCTCTCTCTCTGGATTTTGTAGACGAAGGGCGAGTAGTTAACGGAAATTTGAAGAACTGGTGCGTGTTAATTCATAGTCAGCAACCTTTTTTTTTCTTCTCTTGATGAGTTTTTTGAGATTTGTTATTGAATTTTAGCCTCTTTTTTTTGTGCGGATTTTGGTGTGAATTTGAGGTGATTGCTAGTTGAATCTGTGATTTTTAACGGATTTAAAATTTGTTTTTTGTCTGAATTCTATTATCTGGTGAGAAAGCCTGTGGAGAAATATATTTAGATCCGAAATTCGATATTTCTTTTGTTGTTGTTGTTTAAGATTATAGGTTTTCTGTTAAGTTTGCAGTTTTTTAGCCGATCTTTTCCTCTATTTTTTTGGATGATTTTTAAGATTCATTTTCTGTCGATTTTTACTTTGGAGTTTGGTGATGGGTTGAAGTTGTTTCTAGTAGCTTCGGAGTCTTAAATAGTATTTAAACATTAAAAAGACGGAATAAAAAGTCTTAATTGTTGAATTCCCTTGAATAGAATTTGCAATTTTAAGGAATTTTGAGCAGAATTTTTTTTAAGTTTAATTTCAGATCATCCTTTTCTTTAACTATTTTTAATTTCAGATCATCCTTTTCTTTTAACTATTTACCTTTCTGATCCTTTTAAGTATTTACCTTTCTGATCCTTATCTTTTTCGGGTGTTTTACTCTTATTGAGGTTTCCTTCGACTGAGGGGCCAGTCTGATAAAAATCAGAACAACCCAATTTTACTTTTTAACCAGACCAGAGTTGAACCAGTTAGGGGTTGTTCAATTCTATGAACTAAAATAAGTTACCAACTTTGGCCTAACTTTTTTCCAAACACAAAACTATACGATCAAGCCTATGAAACGAGGAAAATGTTTTTATATTATTAACGGACATGGAACGAATTGAGGATATTTTGCCCTAAAATTTAACTCTATTAAGAGGAATATTGTTTGTGTAATTGGTTAAAATTGGAGGAATTTTGCAGAGATCATAACTGAAATGCGTTTGGTCAAGTTTTGCGGAGCTATTGGAATTATGGTTTATTTTTGCAAAAAAAAAAAAAAAACATAACTTGATTGCTATTTGTATCTATGTATCACTACAATTCTATTGAAATCATTGGGAGTACTCTTGCACTACATGAAATCAATTTAATTGTTCTCCAACCAATTTGAGCAAGATCAATTTGGGTTTAGTGGTAAACACTTTTCTTTGTGAAATTCTGTTCGTACTGCGAAGTTACTCCAATGAGTTTCATTTTCATGGCTGTCCTTTTGATATGAGCTGGCTGCATAACCCATGGATCATCTCTAGGAGTGTTAATGTTAGAAACTTTAAAGATCTTGCCAAAAATCTTTGGTTTGTTCATTTAAATTTAGTATGTGGGGCCAGCAAATAGGGTGGAGTCTTCAATGACTCTTTATCTGGAATAAGTCATCGGAATAAAACATGATTCCACATAAGCCCTTTGCAAGATTGTCTCCTGGAAATCCAGAAAATTGAAATCTTATCCATGTCACTTTCATGAATTCAAATTGATGACCTCAGATGTTCAACTATAGTCTTCTTAGACATAAAGATGTCTCTCCATACTTTGTGACAAAATGGGGATACTTTGTTTCATATCTGGGGATTCTGTCATTAGGATGGAACAGCGACAATATTGATTGTTCAAAATCTTTTACAACCACAAGTTTTGATATCTTTAACATTATGTGGTTGCGGTTATACTCCAGTTTGATGCTGAATTAGTTGATTTGATTCTTGAATCTACACAGTGAACACTAATTTCAGTGATCATGGGTGCCCTCTGTGACTTTTGTGCGGAGCAAAGGTCTATGGTTTACTGCCGCTCAGATGCTGCTTCCTTATGCTTATCATGTGACCGCAATGTTCATTCAGCGAATGCTCTCTCCAGGCGCCACTCTCGAACACTTCTATGCGATAGGTGTTTTTCGCAACCTTCTATAGTGCGGTGCATTGAGGAAAATGTTTCTCTGTGCCACAACTGTGATTGGAATGGACACAGAGATTCGGCCTCAGCTTCTGAGCATAAAAGACAGACGATAAACTGCTACTCTGGTTGCCCATCTGCTGCAGAGCTTTCTAGAATATGGTCTTTTGTGAGGGAGTTTCCTTCCGAAGATGATTCAAATTGTGAACAGGGTATGGGCTTGATGAGCATCAATGAGAACTGGGCCAGTACTTGCTGGGGAGAACCAGGGAGCAACAGTAATCAAGATGTGATCATGAATCAGATGGACACTATGGATAAATTTAATCCTTGGATCGGATCATATTCTGCATCTTCAGCAAATGCTTTGCAAAACAGGGCACAGCAGGCTGATCCAATGCAGTCGACCGCACCTAAGGTACAGTAAGACTTTTTGATGTCTACAATGAAAATTTTAACTTGCATGTGGTCTCTTTTTCTATATAATATATATTTTTACTCTAGTGGATGGAGTCAAAAGAAAGCAAAGATTATTATAATTGCTAACTTGAAATGCTAATTCAGTTTTCAGGGTTAATGAATTTCATATTTTCTATCTGAGAAGAAAAGAGAGTTGAGATGTCAAGTCACTACTAATGCCAGATTACACACAGAAACACATACATAAATGTTGTTTTTCTTTTCAGTTTGAAAATTTCTGCTTTTTTATTATCAACGGAGCAACTTCCTAATATATCTTTTACGTTAGTAAGAACCCAATTTCTGTTAACTACTTCATACAACTATTACTTGTGCAATTAGTAACTGATAATGATCTTTCGAGTTAGTGTCTCAGACTCTCATTGAAGTTGCATCCTTCCCTTGTTAAAAGTATTCATAAGCCTTCTGTATTTCCTTTGGCAAGCAAATAATTTATATACAATCTTTATTATAGTGGGCATGAATTCTCATGAGTACTATTTTGACTAATCCTTGAAATATGCAACAGGAATTCTCAAGGATTATGTTGAAAGACGTATGAAATAACCTTGAAATTGTAGTAATTGCCGTTGTTATCCAAAATGCAGCTATGTGGTTCTGGGACGAAAGAAGTTGAAATCCGCAAAAGTGACTTCAATGAAGATTTCCAAGTGGATGATGTTGACTTGACGCTTGAGGACTATGAAGAACTTTTTGGTGGATCTCATAATTATTCAGGACAGCTTTTCGATGATGCTGGAATTGATAGCTTCTTTGACTTGAAGGAAACATCAGGTGCCAATTCCAACTGCCAAGGAGATATCCCTGAGGTAACATGTCAAAACTATGTTATTACTCTCTTTATTGTTTTCTTTTATCTCCTTTTTATAAAGACTTGCACGTGCATTATCTTAATAGAATGAAGAGATAACATTACTGACAACAAAAGATTTGTCCTTGGAGTCCGCTATACAATCCAATGTTGCATAAGGCACTGGTCTAGTTCCCAGCCCCATAGGGAGGCTTTGTTACTGCAGCATGTTTTTAATTATATTTAAATGCTGATAAATTGTGTTGAAAAGGATGGGGGTTATTGTAATCATCTACATAGAAGAAAGAAACTTGTTGTAGATGATCACTGGAGGCAACATGGCAGCGGGAGTAAGATGGAATTCGTGTTCCATTTGTTAGAAAGAGTAAAGGTCGGCCTTGTTTTGTTAAAACTTAAAACGTGAAGTTAGTCTTGACCATTTAGTTTTGTTATGTAAATGTATCATCAAGCAACCGCAATTGAAACTAGTTCTCTTATCTTATATTTGCCTGGCATACATTGTTATCTTACAACCCATAAGCTTAAGTTTTCTGTTGGTGGTTGGTGACAAGAAATATCCATGGAACATTGCCATTTGGCCAACTTATTGTACGTGCACTGCACAAAATATATTTTTTTATTGCTATTTGGCCAGCTTATTGTATGTGCACTGTTAGTTTACTAATAAAAGTATACCATGGAACATTGCCAAATACTAAATATCATTGGTCTACTTCGTATTTATTACACTTTGCATATTTTATCGCTCTGATTTTTATCTTTTTTGGCACGCTTCTTACTCGAGTAATAATACAGATCACCTTCAGAAACCCATCATTATAATCATACTCCTCTGTTGAACTAGTTATAATCCAAGGTTGATTGCAGTAGAATCTGCTAGTGGAACTTTCAACCTGAATCATTTCATCAATACACCATTCATATTGAAATATAGAATTATGAAGCTCTTATCTTGGAGATCGAGATGCTTCTTCCTCTAGAGGTTGATGAACAAATGGAGTAATTAAATGTTTGGATGCTTATGAGGCCTCTTTGGAAGCATACATTTTCTCCTCCACCCTTGATGTAGGACGCTTAACAGAAAATTTAATGGAGGATTCGGACATTCACGAGCTAAATACAGATTTATACTTCCGCAAAGAAACAATCATATCTTTCAATCCGGAAGGCAGATTCTGACATATTATATATGTAAATCGCCTATCTCGACGAGACGGAGCCAACCAGATTGTCAGATTTTTACAATCTCATCAGTTATACCCAGATTTGGCTAAAATCCGAAAATAATCAGCCTTCAGTTTATTTTAAGTAATATTTTAGGAGTCTGTTTTGTTTAGGAAACAAATCCGATTTGATCTCAGATTTGACCGGTGGACTTTCCTAATCATAAGGAGTCTTTTTTAGGAGTTTTAATATTTTAGGAATTCTTTTACTATTTTTGGTAAGTTCAGAATCCTTGTAGGAGTCTTGTTTCTTTTTCTATTTAAGAAGAGTCTTGTAAGCCCTAGAGGCATAACTTTTCATCAATAAAATTTCTCTTTTTTAATATTTTCTTCGTGGATTCGAAGTTCTTCGTGGATTCGAAGATCGTTCTTTGTGGATTCAGAGAACACCCTTGGTGGATTCCGAGGTTATCACTTCCGCGCTGCGTCAACCCTTGCCATAACAAAAATTATACTGCAAGGTTTTATAATTTTGAAGTCCACTATTATAAATATTACTTCTCTTGGATGGAATTACACCAAAAGTCATACAATATAATGTTGTATGCTCTACCATATAGGAGTATATGTGCTAGCTCTCCTCTTTGGAAGCATATGTTTTCTCCTCCACCCTTGCCATAACAAAAGTTATAATGCAAGGTTTTATAATTTTGAAGTCCACTATTATAAATATTATTTCTCTTGGATGGAATTACACCAAAAGTCATACAATATAATGTTGTATGCTCTACCATATAGGAGTATATGCGCTAGCTCCTTACTGTTTGTGGAATTGCCAGTAGCATTTTTCTTATTCCGATAAATATTTCTCAGGAATCATCAGCAGGATGCATCAAATCAAGACAGCAAGCATGCAGCAATGGGGCTGATCCCTTGCCATCAAATCCTGGAAGTAAAGCAGATCCTAGTGCATCTTTTCCAGCTAGGCAAGCTCATTCCAGCCTATCCCTTTCATTTTCTGGTCTGACTGGTGAAAGCAGTGCCGGAGACTATCCAGAAATGTCATCAATGCTTCTCATGGGCGAACCTCCATGGTACCCAACTGGGCATGAGTGTTCCTCGTTTCCTGCAGCTAACAGAGACAGTGCTGTCATGCGCTACAAGGAAAAGAAGAAAACTCGCAAGTGAGTACATACTCCAAGCATCAACTTACATGCACATGTTTGTGTTTATTTTATTTTATTTTATTGTCAATATACTGATGTTTATTTCTTGGCCATTTATAAACATTTAAATTTGGATTCTTTCATCTTATATTGTAAACTAATGTCCGCACTTAAATAATTTTGACCTGGAACTGGAACCTTATCTGGGATTCTTTAACAACCATTAAGTTCTGGTCTTGAATATTGTATACTCACTACCTGGTCTGGCCTAAATTAATGAATATGAGAGATAATTTACATGTAAAGCAAGTTTAAAGCAGAAATCAACCCAAAATTAATCCTTCTTGTCTTTAAATGTTACTATTTTATCATACTATTAGTATAGAAGAAAAAGGTTGATTAGTAACACTATAGTACTATATGTGGCCTAAATTAATGAATATGAGAGATAATTTACTTGTAAAGCAAGTTTAAAGCAGAAATCAACCCAAAATTAATCCTTCTTGTCTTTAAATGTTACTATTTTATCATACTATTAGTATTTAAGAAATTTTTTGATTAGTAACACTATATTACTATACGTGGCTTCTGCAAAGGTATCCCCAAGGTTTATAACAAGCAATTACTGTACCATGTAAAATATGAACAAGGGAGAAAACAAGCATAATCTGATATTCTTAATACACGGATGAAACAGCCTATGTGAGAGTGAGACTCTCAATGTTTATTGACAGCTGAAATCTATCAAATGCACCATGTGCTATGCAAAACTATACAATATATGTAGGCTGTTAAAATTCCTGGATATGATTATTTTCCTGTTGGCCTGATTACTTATTCTGGAAATTGTTAGGCTAAATGTTAGAATCCCCCCTTAGCTTTAGACGATAATCAGATAACCAGCACACCTTTCAAAAGATGAGAAAGCCCCCCTTAAGTGTAGGGGTTACCTGAAAACCCCCTTCAACTTTAAGATTTTAGTTATATTGTTTTCCTCTCATGATGAACCGTGATAATACTGGGAAAGAACCTTCATCATTTTTATATGGGTTTTAGCAACTGGGACAACCACTTGAAAGTTTATTTTCTGTAATTATAATTTCATAAAAAATTTGCAATGTCTTCGGGACTTTACAATTAAGAAAGGACTTTCTGTATGCATAGTTATTCTCTGCATATCATTCTTATTCACATCCGTTCGGATTGTTTTTATAGTGTAAACTTATGTAGTAAGTTTAAGTTCTGGCCGTAGTGATAAATAACTGATACATGAGGGACATTTTCCTTCCCTATTGTACAGGTTTGACAAGAAAATAAGGTATGCCTCTCGCAAAGCTAGGGCCGATGTGAGAAGGCGTGTGAAGGGGAGATTTGTGAAGGCAGGCGAAGCTTATGATTATGATCCACTCTGCCAAACAAGAAGCTACTGAAAACACGGTCATCACCGTACCTAATATAGAATATTAACTTTCCACTAAACTATTATTGGAGAGTTAACGTCGACAGCTAAAAGCCTCTCCTATGATTATTGACTATCATCGGCTTTGTTGCTTGGTCGATAAAGTTGAGTTTGATGCTCCAATTTTTCTGGGTGAATTTGTCACGACATTCTTGAAGAAGGTATTCTGCTGTTATTTTGTCCCCAGATGTTCCATGCTAAAATAAAACAAAAAGAAGAAGGGGAAAAAAAAAATCTAAGTCCATCACCTATATATGGAGTTGTTGCCTTTTTTCTATGCTGGCTCTAATCAAGGTTCCAGCTACATCGCCATGGGGCATGCAATGACCTGTAGTGCTGCTTCGGTTACTAGGTGAGGCTTTTGTATAAAAATTGTATATATGTGATGATAGTTTTTGGATACATTTTTTTGGGTACATGTAAAAAGTTTGTGGAGAATGCAGTGTTTTAACTGAGAGAAGGCGCTTATTTACGACTGAGGAAACTGCTTTTGTAATGCGTGGCTTTTGAGAAACTGTGAAGTTTGAACTTCTATGCCCTTTTTTGTGGAATAGATTGCAATAGGGTACCTGTTTATCTGCTGTGATGGAAAATTTTCTTCAGTTTTGAGAATGATCAGAGGTTATGCTTTCTCTGAACTAAGAGGTTTCTTATTTTTTTATCAGCTTTTTCAAAAATGATGTTTATACTGTTTCTTTTATCTATCACTAGTAGTGCGGTGCACGCTATGCGTGCATGACAGAGAACATGGGGTGTGTTGTAATTGAATTGTCAAGGGGACTTTTATGATTTTGAGTGTATTTTAGTTTGATTTTTTAGATTTTTTCAAGTTTATTGACATTTCTGTGATTTTTTTCATGTACGAGGATGTCTCTTTTAGTTTTGTAAAATAACATTTCATTTTCTGTTGGTTTTTTTAGGCATTCACAAATTTTATTTTTCAGATGTAAAGGAGTTTTTGGAATTTTAAAGTTGTGGCTCGCAAGGACCAAAAGAGGGGGCTTCTTTTTAATACATAGAATATACTCTGCGGATATTAATTAATTTATTATGAAGGAAGAGACGTCCTATAGAGGATATTAATTAGTTTATTTTTCTTCCGGCTATTTCAAGTCACAAAAACTGATATTCTTATCTGTTTCTTAAATTAGGGCTAATTCTGGAGTTTGTTAGTACAAAGGGGTTAGAAATAATATTCTTAGCATTAAGAGGGTTATACATAATATTCTCATGCCTCTAATAATTGGAGAGGGGAACATGCTACACATGCGATCAGATTCTGAGAGAAATACAGATCCTAACTTTGGATTATACAAAATCTAGTGGATTTAGATGTTAATGAACTTTTTATCATTGATTCCATGTTTTATTATTCTCGCTTTACCAAGCATGTGACTTAGCATGAACTTTGTACTAAGATATATATATATATATATCCTTTCCATCAGTATGGTAGGTTGTGTTTGAAATCAAGAAATCATATAACTAACATATAGAAATTTTTATATGCTCGATTAGGTAACTTTTAGTTAGAGAGCACTAAGATCAAACTGATTTTGAATGAAAATATTCAATTAATTTCTATATACGTATTTGCTAGATTAATGTGATTCTAGATGTCTAGGTGCAACCTACCTATTTAAATTGAAGGCCTACAAAATTGTTGGTATTATAAACCTTTTGTGTGTATCATATCTATGCTATAATATTAAAAATCAAGTGAAGGTAATACCAAAAAGTTGGAATGACATGTGCCCACCCAATAGAAAGAAGAGAGTATATTTGTAATTACATCTCTTTTTTCTAAGGGGGTTATTGGTTGGTATAATTTTGTGGTAAGTGAGACCTTTAGTGTTATTCATTTGGACATTGGGAATGATATTTTACTTTATGGTGTTGTTGATTGTTTAAAACAATAGTAAGATAATAACCCACAGAGCATAAAATTAATAAACTTATCCCAATCAAATAGAAATTTTTTTTTACTTCCAAGCTAAATTTTACCCCAAATCTCATATGGGAGAATTTGGGACAGATGGGGTAATTTTAAAAAACATTCATATTTTAACTACTAATATATGTCTAATTACACTAGATATGTAATTAAATATTGAAAATAACTGAATATAAATATTAACTAAATATAAAACATTAAATAATTAATATAACTGATCATGTTTTTAATATAATATATTAATGACAAATATAATGTATTATATTCCACTTTCTTATAATATGATATTATACAATATAAAATAATTTCATTATTTAAAATATAATAAAATAGCATATAATTTATTATAATAAATAATATATAATATTTTATAATATAGTATATTATATTATTATAAATTATGGCAATATATTATTATATTATAAATATTATAATATAATAAAATAGTATAAATATGTAATAAAATATAATATACTATACAATATATTATATTATATTATATCCTACAGTACAATATAATGCAATATATTATATTATACTATACTAAACTTATTACTAGTATGTGTTATTAATTATGATAATATAATTTATTATTACATATTTGTATTATATTATTTATTAACTGTCATATACTATTATAATTTATAATTTATCAATATTTTAATATTTTATTATATTCATTATAATGTGATACACTTTAATATAATTCGTTTTTATGCTTTCAATAAAATAATGTATAATTTATATATTGGAGAATATTCTACTATAATATATTATCCTATATTATACTAAACTTATTATTAGTATGTTATATTAGTTTTAATATAATATATTGTAGATATTCAGAATATATAGTAATAATCATATAATGTAATAGAATATTTTAATAAAGTGTTACACTGTTACCTAACAAATTGTCCTATTTAAATTATTCAAATCACAATTCTAAATTATCTTATTATTACAAATTATTCTATTTTGTCCTACTCATATTATTCCAATGAAGAAATTTGCAAAATAGACATATTTTGTTAAATATTTAGCAAAACAGATCGTTTTGCTGAATATTTAGCAAAATAGACCTCTATTTGGCATGTTGGTCAAAAAAAAATCTTTTTTACTAAATATTCAGCAAAACAATCAGTTTTTCTAAATATTAGAAAAATAGATCTATTTTGCAAAAGTTTCCTATTCCAATAGGATAAAATTATCCGTTCGGGACAATTATCCCTCTTCGCCTTGTGCAGTTATGCGTGACATTATTGTTGATCTTGTTTTTACACTTGAGCCCTTTAGGATTTCTTTTAGGGGCTATTTGGTTCGTTTCCTTGATATAGAGAAATGCAGTTCCATGTAAAGAAACACAAGTTTTGAGTTTTCTAAACTTTTCCAAGAAATAGATTGTTTTGCTTTGGTTCGCACATAAAAAATGTTGGGAAACCAATATATTTATTTTTCTTGTGTTTGGTTCGCATAGAAAAAAAAGGAAAATTTTTGTAAACAAAGCAGAGAAGGAAAAAAATCTGACGTGGCAGAGTTTTCATCAATTTCACTTGGTTGAGGAAGGAAATCGGAGAGGAAAAAAAATCTTAGTTGGCTGCGATTTCAACAGAGTTTTCCCTCTTCCATTCGAGCGAACCAAAGCGGCACAAAGAAATGGACGGAAACAAAAAATCTGACGTGGAGGGCTAAAAATCTGACGTGGAGGGGTTTTCTGAGTTTTCCACCCCTTATAATAGCGAACCAAACAGCCCCTTAGCATCCGCTCAAACATCTTTCATTTATCCTTTTACATGTGCTAGACATACTTTTTAAGTTTAAGCCCTTTAGCAATATTATTTGCATTAATTTCAATTATATAAATAAAAATTAAGTTGAAACTGCAATACATACGTTTGAATTAAGTTAAATGAATAATGAGCAGCACCATAAAAAGAACGATGCTTGTTAAAAGATGATAACTAGTTTATAATACTTTATGAAAAAATTTAAAGTACTAGAACAGTTTCTAATATTTTATTTAAACAAAATAGAAATTTGTAATATTATATATACAAGCATCTTCGTTAAAAAAAATGATAAGAAAATATTTCAAATATTTCTGTTAAAAGGATATTAGTTTTCTCTCTTTACAAAAAAAAGCTTCTTTAAAAATGTGTTTAATTACCTATTAATCAAAACCATACAAATAAAAAAGAAGTTAGCATATAATTTTGAACTAATAAGTTTGTATGACATAGAAGAGAAACTGAAGGTGCAGAAGCATGTAAGTGAGTAAAAGTAATATAAAATAAAATAAAATTTGTCCGTATTCTTTCTTTACAACATAAAATAAGAAAAAATTAGTGCATGGCACGTGCAAGCTGCTAGTTGATTATTAAAATGTAATTTACTTAAGTAGCTAGCAATAATCATTCAGATCAGCTACAAGTTGATAACACAATTCTAGTGGCGCCAAATTCTTACGCGCGGCGTGTTATTAAGAGACGTTGTAGATAAACTAATTGACAAACCTTACACAATTCTAGTGAATCCTAATTTTTTCGTTCTAATTTATGGATTTTTTACAAAACGTGAAAACTTAATGAGGGTTTTCTGCAACTTCAAAAGTTATGGAGGGTTTAGTGTGATTTTAAAAGCTATTGGGGGTTTAGTGTGAATTTTGAAAGTTCTTGAAGGGTTTACTGTGATTCTGAAAGTTTTCAGGGGACGACTGCAAAATGCCGGAGGATTAGGGTAATTTAGCTTAGACGCTCCACAGTCGTTCGCTCAAACCTATCATACCTCCGCCACCTAAAATGCATCAGGAAAGCTAATTTGGATAGAAGCGACTAGCTAGAGAACGCAAGATGCTTTAATTCAAGATTGAAAGTGGAATTAGGTTCCATGGTTGATTCTTCGATTAAACATTTATATCTCTCACATTATGGGAGATAACCCATGACTAAATGTTGTATTTATCTCCTTAGAAATGACCTATTAATTAACTTCATATCTACCTATGTAACTACATATAGTTTTGATGGGAATCAGAAAACCAGCATAGCATTTCTTTTCCAGCTAGATTCAATTAACATCAGATCGCTAGCTCCGTAATGATCAAACCTATATCATGTTTCTATGTTAAGATCCATAGGTTAGAAAGATGCCACTATCAAAAAGCCGAGGGGGGCGCGTATCATATGACCGCATGCACGCATCAAGTGATTTCATGACTGCATGTTGTGTACAGCCGACTGTAGACGTCTAAAAATGCATGTAGGTGTCCACACATAGCTCAAGACAAAGCGAGGACGATAAACGTCGAAATCTAAGTCGGAGAGGATTATCCGAACTGTAAACGAGCGCATAAAGCAAATTGGCCAAACGTATCAGTCAATAAAATGACAAAGTACGCAAAAGGATAAAGACAACCTGAAGAAGCCCCCGGCAGCCGAGCGCCCACCAAAAGGTTCGATCGAGAAAACTGACGACGCCAAGGCCGGCTGACAGGCACGGCTGAGTCCGCAGCACGAGCTATCCAGCACCCATGCCAGTCAGCACGAGCTATCCCGCGCCCAGGCCGGGACAGTAGAACC